TAAATAAATAAATAAATAAATAAGATAAAATCAGCCAATGAAACCTCTGGACCGAGCCATTTTCTGGATCGAGTTTGTTATGAGGCATAAAGGAGCAGCCCATCTGAGGACAGAGTCTTACAAGATGTCCATGATCCAGTATTTCTCCATTTCTATTTCTACTTACCATTGCTTTGATACTCCTTATTGTTTTTATTTCTCTTATCAAGTTTCTCTGGAGGAGTCTTCTTTATAGAAGAAAAGCTAAAGAGGAATGATGAACATGCTTCCAGGTTGCAGCAAATGTATTTGATTATTTCAAACACTGCAGCTTGTATACGGTGATTTCAAATGAAGGACAGTATTTCACAGAAGCAAAGACAAAGAATAATGAAAAATGAATGAATGAATGAAAAAATTGAAATATGTATTTAGTTTATTGAACTTACCTCAGTTAAATCTATATTTCATTTTAAATTGTCCATTCAGAACAATCAGATACAAAGTTTACTAATATTATTATAGAAAATTAGATATGCTAATTTGTGAAATGTTTACTCAGCAGCATCAACAGCAGTAGCAGCTTTATTGTTTAGAGTTTGCTTAACATTTATAGAATATGAAGGAGAAATACATGAAGGTTTGTTTTAGTGATATGTTAGAAACGTTTTTCAAGAAAATTTAAATGTTTTTTTTTTGTTTTTGTTTTTTTACCAGCAACTGAGCTTTAATCTATAGAAACTGCATCAGAAAAGGGAGCCTGATATTTTTCTCGTTCCTATGAGAAGCAAAATGTCTCTGAATCACTGAAGGATAAGTCTAATTTAATAAAATTCATAAATTAAATTTCATCCCAACATTTGTCATTAAAGCGGATGTTTTATTTCTGAATATTAAACCCGTTTGGAGGCAAACCCTCCAATGACATAGCACTGTAACAAAACTATAAGTATTTGGATTTAAGGACGAATGAACTGATCAATATCCAGAGAAAGGTGGATTGTTAGAGCTGGATCTAGAACTGGAATCTTAATTAAAATGCTTAATTACTGACACATACTGACAACAGAGCAGCTTAGTTTGGCATTAATCAAGCTATTTTTAAATTCACTGCATTTTAGTCTGTCACAACCAAATCTATTTTGAAATAGTTGCAAAATACAAAAAAAACACTTTTCCGCATAAGTTAGAACTAACTACTTAAAACCATACTTAGGGCAGGAGTATTAATTAATATTAGCAAAATTAATAAAGCAAGAAGGCTGAAGGACTGTTGAGGGGAGCTTCTGTGCTGAAAATGTTTGGCTCTAATCAAAAGGCAGAAAAATGTGGCACAAATCTGTTCTTTTTCTTTTTTGATGAATTGATCAGGTCATAATTTTTAAAACAGATATAAGCGCTCAGATTTGCCCCATATCCAATTTATTCAAAGTAACATTTGGTCTCACTCATACACGGTCTTAAATGTAATTCTTCCTGAACTTGCAAACTGATGTCATTTTCCATCAACATCTGTCCCAATTCTGCGCCGGTAGAAGGTGATAGCAGCTAGCAAGATGGAAATCTTGCTAGCTACTTAAAAAAATTAAAGGAACACTTTGTAATCAGAGTATAGCATCAAGTTAATTAAACTTCTGGGATATGGATTTGGCCAGGTAAGTAGCAGAGGAGGTCGTTAATCAGTTTGAGCTGCTTTGTTGTTACTGAAATTAACAACAGGTGCACTAGAGGGGCAACAACGAGATGACCATCAAAACAGGAATACTTTTACAGGTGGAGGCCACTGACATTTTTTCCCCATCTCATCTTTTCTGACACTTTTTCACCAGTTTTGCATTTGGCTAGGGTCACTGTCACTACTGTTAGCACGAGGCGCTACCTGGACCCTACAGAAGTTGCACAGACAGTCCAATTACTCCAGGATGGCACATCACTACGTGCCATTGCCAGAAGGTTTGCTGTGTCTCCCAGCACAATCTCAAGAGCATGGAGGAGATTCCAGGAGACAGGCAGTTACTCCAGGAGAGCTGGGCAGAGCTGTAGAAGGTCTTCAACCCATCAGCAGGACCGGTATCTGCTCCTTTGTGCAAGGAGGAGCAGGAGGAGCACTGCCAGAGCCCTACAAAATGACCTCCAGCACGCCACTGGTGTGAATGTCTCTGACCAAACAATCAGAAACAGACTCCATAAGGGTGGCCTCAGGGCCCGACGTCCTCTAGTGGGCCCTGTGCTCACTGCCCGGCACCGTGGAGCTCGATTGGCATTTGCCACATAAGACCGGAATTGGCAGGTCCCCCACTGGCACCCTGTGCTTTTCACAGATGAGAGCAGGTTCACCCTGAGCACATGTGACAGACGTGAAAGGGTCTGGAGAAGCCATGGAGAACGTTATGCTGCCTGTAACATCGTTCAGCATGAACGGTTTGGTGGTGGGTCGGTGATGGTCTGGGGAGGCATATCCATGGAGGGAAGCACAGACCTATACAGGCTAGACAACACCACCCTGACTGCCATTAGGGATCGGGATGAAACCCTTGCACCCATTGTCAGACCCTATGCTGGTGCAGTGGGTCCTGGGTTCCTCCTGGTGCACGACTATGCCCGGCCCCATGTGGCGAGAGTATACAGGCAGTTCCTGGAAGATGAAGGAATTGATACCATTGATTTTTTCGCACGCTAGCCTGACCTAAATCCAATAGAACACATACATTATGTTTCGATCCATCCGAGCCCAACCAGATTGCACCTCAGACTGTCCAGGAGCTCAGTGATGCCCTGGTTTAGATCTGGGAGGAGATACCCCAGGACGCCATCCGTCGTCTCATTAGGAGCATTCCTCGACGTTGTCAGGCATGCATACACGCACGTGGGGGCCAAACAAATTACTGAATACCATTTGGAGTTGCTGCAATGACATTTCAGCAAAATGGACTAGCCTGCCGCATAATTTTTTCACTTTCATTTTTGTCTTTGAATTCAGCCCTCTGTAGGTTAATAATTTTCATTTCCATCAAATGATGTGGCATCCTTTTGTTCCTAACACAATGAGATCTGATGTGTTTTCAAAGTGGTCCTTTAGTTTTTTTGAGCAGTATATATACATATATATATATATATATATATATATATATATATATATATATATATATATATATATACACACACACATATTCTGATGTAGTATTTAACAATTTAATATTCAAATGGCTTTTGCCACATTTAAGGTTTATTTTTAGTTTAGTTTTTGCTACATTATTAAATATGTCATATTTTCAGTATGAAAACATACTGTAATTTTGTTCCACAATCCATACCAGGAGGTGGCGGTAATGCACTTTCAAATGTTTTGCCAACCGCCATTAAACCATTAAAAATAAAAACTACTCCTGTTCGTCTATACTGGTCCAAACTCATCCTTGAAATAAATTTAATTATAATGTAAACAGGAAGTCCAACTGATTGCATTAGTTTGTTTTGTTTTCGTTTTGTTTTCCCCCATAGGGTTTGGAGTAGTGATGGTTAATAAGGCATCTTGAAGCCAAACTATTGATACTGTGAGTCTCACAGAATACTGACACCTGCTGGACATTTATAGACACTACAGGCAGCTTATTTGACAGACTAAACTGAATTGATTTGATGACCTAGTACAATGATATTTGATAATTTAAGTTATTGTAGGTTATATTGTATTATTTTATATCTATGTTTAAATTGGAAATATCTTTGATAAATAATGTAACCATATAACGTGAAAATTTAGGGGAAAATTTGAATGAGGATGCTTGTGGAATACATTTAAAAATGTGATTTAAACTCCAATAAGTAAAGTAAAAACAGTAAATAGACTAAGAGTCAGTTTGAAATTAACTGTAATTCAGATAAATTGTGTGATAATTGAGAGGAAAAGTATGACACAACGAAAAAAGTAAAATAAAGATGCAACGGTTCAAGTGTTCCTATTCCTTTTAGACTGCTTGAAAATACTGCAAAAGATGAGACATTTTTTTAGCAGATGCATCATGTTGACAGATATGTTTTTAATTAATTATAATAATTTAATTGAGCCACTCAGTTAGAACCGATAAAGTGTTTTTATGGCAAGCCAAGAGTGCCACTATTCGCATCTATTATCATGTTAAGATAGAAATTCACCCGTTTTCAAAACAGCACCCATTTTCCAAAATTGTGCCGCTTTTCATGTCTGTCATGTTGACAAGCACCGCTTTTTATATCCGTCATGATGACAAGCGTCGCTTTTTATATCCGTCATGATGTCAGGCGTCGCTTTTTACGTCCGTCCTGATGGTTCCTGACGCGCGTCGTTACCCAGACAACACTCGTCGAAAACACACATTGTCCTATTATGATATTATATTATGATAATTATTTCCTTCCTTCTTGTCGGACATGAATCGACATGCATCGCTAACCAATGTTTTGTGCTGTACAGGTATTACTTGCAACAGTTCACATTTTCTACAGCTAAGTGTTGGTGCAGTGGTTAGAGCGACAGCACGTCATGCAAATCTCTTGCTTCAATACTATGGCGAGTCAAGAGTGCCACTATTTGCATCTAATTACACATGATAATTAGAGTTGAATAGTGGCCCTCTTAGCTTGCCATAGTTTTCTCTATGGACTCGACGCATGCATGCATCAGTGTTAATGGACCCATCACTAGTTTGGGGGGAGGTAGAGATAAACCTTCTTCTTTATCAAGTGTTACTACAAAATACCACAACATGTTTAATTTGATTTGCTGCCTACATCCATGAGCTAGAAATTTGTATAATTTTAAAAGTTTTCCTAAAACAGCAGCATATGAAACAAATTCAGAAGCTGATCATCACTGAAGCCAGCTCATAAATATTATAGAAAGCAGCAGCATCAAATTCCAGAGATTTGTTTCCCTAAGAATATATTGGCATCAAGAAACTATGATAAAAAAAAACATCTGAATAGATCAGGAAAGGATTAGAAATAAATTTAGTAAAAGAAAATATTTTCCTGCATTTTATTTGCTCTGAAGCTGATCTTTATTTTATCAAAACAATAGAGCACATGGTGTTATGATTTATTTTAAACACTAGAGGGCGCTATTTCACACTACAGAAGTTAAGTTTTTCTTTTCCTAATCTTTTAATAAACTCAGAAAAAAAAACACTTCAAAGAAACTCACCAAGAAAAAAAAAAAGAATTTTTTTATATATAAATTTATGTTCAGGAACATTAGACATCAACATAAGTCCATTACATTTTGAAATAACATTACAGAAACAAGAATCATGCAGGAGGAATTTTTATTCAATTAAGATCATTTTCAAAAAGAAAAAAAGAAAAATATTAACAGTTACAACACCTATATATAAATATTAGATATCAACAAAGTTTAAGACTAAAAACATTTCTTTACATATTTGAGTTATTGCTGTGAGAAGCTGCATCCTCAAACGGATACGGCTTTCATATCTATTTCTTTAAAACATTTGAATATTTACTTTAATAAGTTCATTATTTTATATTAAATATTGATTGATAAATGTAGTAAATTAAGATTTGAAAATAAAACTGTAGAGACATTGTCGTTGTATGAGTTATATTCAATGAAGGTCCAGCCTTCAGGCGGATTGAAGCATTTCTACACATTGCTTGGCTATTTGCTTCTTTCAATCGTGTTTGGAGTTTAATCTTTTTCTTGTTTTTATAAATGGTCTAAAAGTTTTTATATATTGTTTGTTCGTTTATCTGTTTATTATTGTTAAAAAATTGTATTTTTTTATTAGTACAGTTCTTTTGTGTTTAGTTTTTTGTTTATTCTTGTTTTATTTGTTCATTCAGATTTGCTTTTCTTAAATCAGCCTTACTCTTTCACTCTGTGTGAGGAGTTTCTCTGTATCTCAGAGTCATTCTGTTTGAGTTCATTAGTGTTCCTGCCTTTCATTAACCAACAGCAGTTCCACACCTGCTTTGGATAGCTCATCTGCTTCCTTAGGCTTGGTTTATGCTTGATGCGCGGCCAAATGATGTCATTTTGGACTTCTACGCCCCCCCGCGAGGTGGAGCACCTAGGAAAAATTTTTAACCACGCAGATGGATACATGCAGAAAACATGGCGAACAAGCAGCAGCTCTTGCTGGCGAGGGTTCGCAAACGTAAACATCTACAGACTTCCTGTGATTTAGCCCCTAAATATCAGCACATTGTGGAAAAACTCCAGGAAAGAAATATTAATCTGGAATGGCATGAAGTGGCTGAATAACGAGGCCTTCAGTCATTTCCCACTCCTGCCTCACAATCTAAGCTCCTGTTTTCCATGTATTTCGCTGAATTCTTCCATTATTACAGTAACCGTTTCTTTGCCTCTGCTCCATATTCTTTACAAGACCTGTAAGATTTCTGTTTTATTTTTAGTCAAACCTCCACTATGCTCAAACTAAATTCCTGTCTTTATTTCAGTCCCACAAAATACCTACAACACCTGACAGGTCTATCTTTGTCTCAGTTATCGTTTTCATCAAAAGAAACCAGGTATCGATCACAATATTAGCGGCAGTGTTAAAAGCCTCCTGCTGGGACGTTCTGATCTGGACTTTAGTTTCCTCTGTGGCTCAGGAATACCACAATGATGCAAAATACTCTGTTAAGTTTTAAAGTTACATATTTCTAAGGTTTATGAGTTAAAACTCATAAATGTAAACAAACAAACAAAGCCTTAAAAGATTTTATATCATATTCCCTTACAACAAAGAAATGTTGTCATGGTAGAAACGTTTGTGCTTTGAACCATTTTGAATGGCGTATATAAAATTACCGGTCTTTGTTATCTTGCATTCCCTGCTTGTTCACACTCTTCTTAAGACTGTTTGGAACAACTTTCCCTCAAACAGGCTCGGATAAAAAAACAAAAACTGGCTCAGATAAGAAAAAAAAAAACCAACCTCCATTTGGTAACATTATGATGTGGGACATTTAAGATGACATGAACGGATGTCAGTTACATAGAAGCAGGAGAATTAATAACTTAAAGCTTGTTGCACAGTTTATGATCAACGTTTTGGATCAATGTCGTCTGGTTGCCTGTTCGAGTCTGTTTGACAGGGCTGTCAGCACCTGGTCGAACTTGGAGTATCTAAGAACCTGGTTCTCCTCGGCTCCCCTGCTCCCCCATAGCAGCCTCATCTGGAAGTCCGTGAGGAAGATCTCCTTAACCCCTTCCTGCTCCTGGAAACCTGGAACAAAACATTCCAACATCAGCATTTTGGCTCCAGCTCACATCAGTTACAAGTTTTTGTTTTTCTTTTACTGTTATCAGCAATATCTTGTGCAATTTACTATTTAATACCCTGTGCAATAACCTGTTTCTCTACATTTGACACCCAATGCAATAACTAATATATAAATATCCATCAATGTAAATACCCATGCAAACACCCTGAGCAAATAACCCTGTATAATAATCCTACTATAAAAATCTGGAAGCACTGTATATACTGTATATATCCTTGCACATTTTCTTCCTTTGGCACCTTTTTATTCTTTGACAATTTGAGCTGAGGTCACTAGAAAATTTCTCCACTGTGAGATCATTAAAATTAATCAACCAATCAATTAATCACTCAATCACTCGTCTTAACAATGGCACCTCTGAGATTACGAGCATGTGTTGCTGCCAATCAGAATAACTTTTATCTTAATATTAAACTGGGTTCAGTTTTTTGTTGGGGCTTTTAAAAATCACATAAAACGATCTTCACTATATTCAAATGTTTATCCTTTAGCAGAAGTAGTGGGTCTGGCTAAAAACATAAATAACTAATGTTTCGAATCAAGAATCCGATGCATGAGGTTATTGTTGCTTTAATTCCTGCTAAATGACTTAGGGGAACTTTTTTAAACTGGTGTTTTGTTTTCTTCCTACAGAAAATATTTGTTTGTAAAGTCTGTTGGATTTATGTCCCGTATAGACAGTAACTGTGTCCACATACATTTATTTAAAATTCTATTTACTTTTTCCTCCCAATTTTTTACTTCTTATCATTACATTCAAATTTTGATAGAAACAGAGTCTGAACAATGTGAGACATATGCAAAAAAAAGAGGAAGAAAACATTTTCATTAAAATGAATATTGAGGTTTCTAGCATAGAATCTAAACAGTGTGTAGTGAAGCTCTTCTCTATTTTATCACTTTTTTTAAACAGTCCAGAGACACATTACGACGGAGTATTAGGGCCAGGCAAGAGATTTTTTTTTCTTCTATTTCAAGAATAAAGTCATAACATTACGAGAATAAAGCCGGTATATTACGAGAATGAAGTCATGATACCACAACCGGTTTCAGAAAGAAAGCGTCGAGCTCGGACCAGCATCTGACGGCCGACCAGCTCCACCAATCAGCAACCTGAGTCCATTTTGGCATCCTGGCTAAAATATTTCCTTATTTGTCAAACCAGAACCAAAGTATAACTTCACATAATGCTCGACATTTCTCATTTTAGCGAAGAAAGTGCTTCTTGTAAGAGTTGTCATAAAACACAACTTGTTTCTCGTAATTTTAGGACTTTCTTCTCCTAATATTACAACTTTATTCTCTTGATTTTAGGACTATTCTCGTCGTGACTTTTTCTCTTAATATTATGACTTTATTCTTTTAATGTTACAACTTTATTCTCGCAATTATACGACTTTATTCTCATAGTTTTACAACCCTATTCTGGTAATGTTACGACTATTCTCGTAATTTTACAACTTTATTCTCGAAATAGAAGAAAAAAAATCTCTAGCCTGGCTCTAATACTCCGTCATAACAAACAGACTGCAGAAAGAGCTTTTTTTTAAATCTCTATTGTCAAAAAGATTTTTAATACAGTCCCTAAATCGTTTACATATCATTGAGTAGAAAAATGATTAATGTCAACGTGAACAGGTCCTTAGTATACTGCTGCGGTCTCTCTACACATTGTTTACACATGTTATAAACCTTTGGCCAAATTATTGATTCTAGAGATGTTTTTATTTACATTATAAATGATGTTTAATTTGCTGGTCATAGGTCGTTTTAATGACCTGAATCCTTTTCTGGCATGCACCATGATTCTGTCAGTTTTAGAAAACTCTTAAAATGAAAGAGAAATAATGTGTGGTAAAAGAGCTTTTATTCATCACAATTCAGGAATTTGAATGGAACCATAATCTCCAGATTCTTACCCCGTAATCTGCCTTCAGAGTTAGAGCAGTAGATCCCCCCCAGCTGAGCCATAGTTCTCGCTGCTGCCAGGTGCAGCATGACCACCTCCACCCCGACCTCTGCGGTCTCCCAGGGCTCTGTCCCGTCTCCCACTGCAGAGCTCTTCTCCAGCAGGGTGAGGAGGGGGAGGACGTGGGGGAAGGTAGTACTGGACAGCGGACAGCTTTCTGCAGGACAAACAGCAACAGAGACTCATTGATCAATTCAAATCTGGATTCACAGATTTTATTAAATTATGTAATATTGTTTACCTCTTCCATCATTCAAGCCCTTCAGAAACGGACGCAGGGTTTTCTCATAGAGAATGGCGCCCTCTGTGTGTCGCTGCCGTAACGTTGTCCATGTCTGCTCCAGACGAGACACCTGAGAGATAAATCATCAAAAAAGACCCAAACGAAATCAGACAGAGCATTGAATTGCAGAAGCCTCACAGCAGGAATCTAACCACCTTCCCTCCCTCAATTAAAAGCAACCAGTAAAGCTATGCAAGAACATCTTGTGGTAATTATGACACTTTTTTTCTAGCAAAGCCTAAACTAAATCTTCACCTTCAACATAAATAAATCCCTCAGGATAGTTATGAAAGCAATATTCACATCTTTACGACCAGAGATAACGAAGAAGTGCTGGTAATGTTCAGTTCTCTGTGTGTAGGGAGTAACATTTTATGGTTTACTTATGACAGACAGTGTATTTATCAATAACCTGTAGATCTTGTTCAACTCTACCACAGTTGGAAATCAGCCCACTGGACATTTGTTGCATGTCAGCTTGTTCTCTCCTATCTCCATCCATAAAGATAAACAAATAGCACTATCATATGCTTCTCTCACCTGCGGCAGCTCCAACGCTCTCATAACAGCGGCAAAGCCGAACATGTTGCCCAAGGTTGTCTTTAATTCGGCTGCGATCTGGATTATTTTATGCAGCAGGGCGGCTCTCTCCTCCGTCGTTCCAGTGCAGCCCAACACGTTTACAGCCAACATGGTGGCCATGGTCTGAAACCTGCAGAAACACATCAGATCCTGATCAGCAGTGGTATTCACTCAGTTTAGGTGGATATAGTTAAAGCCACAAGTCATCTGAGAAAAGTGAAATAAACTGGAAAAGTCATGCAAAATTATACTAACAGTACTTGGTCATTTTTAGATTTGCAGAAATATTTTAAAGTCTAAAAAGTCAATTGTAAGAATCTTTGGGTTAGAGCAGTGCATTTGTGCTCTGAGAAGGTTGCAAGTCCTGGTTTGATCCCCACAGCCTCTAGTCTGGGTTCCTGAGCAAAACCCTTAGCTTCACACTGCTCCCCGGGGGCCACACAATGGCAGCCCACTGCTCCCCAAGGGGATGGGATGAATGCAGAGAGTAAATTTCCCCCATTGTGGAAAAATAAAGGGATTTACATTCGCATAAAGTCATAATGGTGACCTGAATTAGAACAAGAAGTTAATACACTGAAATGCTATATTTTCAGTTTTTCTGTTTGCAGAATATAGAATCTGATCTTTGGTAGTTTTGACTCAGCTGAGCTTTTAAGTAATCAGAAACATCAACCATTCGTTGTTTATTCCCTGCTTGCCGATGCATGGTTACGGGTAAGGCTGGTGAACATTTCACTGGGGAAAAAAGTGGGACACAGCAGATCAAATGCAAGATTGTGACATAGAAGAAACAACCATGCGCTGCATGTATGCCTTGTGGGGATCTAGAGACACCACTTTACCCAGTTATCATGATTTTAGGCTGCTAATTAAATCAGAAAAACTGACTTTCCATGCATTGTTAACTCAGGAGCCTTTTCTAGATCAAACATCCTTTCTTATCAGTGCAATATTTTGCAGATTGCACTGAGTTTCATTGGTGACTGCTAAATAAGGGAGCAGCAGAAAAAACTTTGTCTCCATCTTTATCTTATTTTCTTAAATGAGTAATTCTATGGTAATGATTTGTTTTAAGCGTTCCAATCAGGTTTTAAAGTTCATCAAAGCACTAAAACAGTCCTGGTCAAAGTCACCAATGATATCCTCATGGCTTTAGATAACAGACTTTTGTCTGTGCTTCTTTTGTTAGATTTCAGGGCTGAATTCAAGATACATTACAGTGTTACTGTTATTATTAGTTTAAAACTATCTTTGACATCATGTCTGTGTCTGTAAGAATGTTTTTAAACAAACACTATGTAAATCTTCTGCTATCTTTCCGGTTGTGTTTAAGTTGCTTCCCTGTGAAATGACAACCTCAAAAGGATGTTTTACTAATGAATTTGGTGTAAAAATGGAGGTGTAGTCGGTTCATGGACAGAAACTTGAGCAATCAGAAACTGAATCTGAATAGGATAGTGTCAACCTTAATATGAAAAATATGAAATTAAGTGTATTGGTTTGAAAATTAATAAGTTAATATAAACAATATATTAAATGAAGCAAAGTATGAAATTGTCTCTTTTTTACAGAGAGAGCAGGAGACTTTATGCCTTAATGTGGGACTCACCTCTCCAGTAGGTCCAGTCTCAGCTGCTGTCCATGTGGCAGCGTCAGCAGCTCCATCCCAGAACCCACTCCCATCTTGCTTTTCATCTCCGGAGTTACTTCCAAAATTCTTGCCACCTGGGAAAATAGCAGTTATTTCTGCTGCATTGGCCATAAAAACATATAAGAATACTAGAAATATGGCATATAATATTGTGTATTTTGGTTATTTTGCAGAATATCACCAGAAAAATCTGCATACTTGTTTGAACCAGATGCTGTTTTAAAGATTTGAAGTCAATTTAACCCCTTGCTGCCTGAATTTATAAACATACACACACACATACATACACTGTTTGCCTTTAAGTAGATGCCAAATTAATTTTTTAACTTTCTATTTATCTGAAAAATAAGAAAAAAATGTCTGTATAATAAAAATCTGTGACATTTATAGCGGTCAATTATAACATACATTGTTAGGGGCAAGTTGTAACAGAAAGAAGAGCTCTCCCTGAAATTGAAGCGTTGACGGTTCAAACCCCAGCTCTGGCTTTCATTGTCATTGTGTCCTTGGGCAAAACACTTCACCTGCATTGCCTACAGAGTGGGGGTGCCGGCGTACGGTAGCCTCGATTCTGTCAGTAAGCCCCAGGGCAACTGTGGCTACAATGTAGCTTGCCACCATCAGTGTGTCAGTGAAAGACTGAATGGGTGAATGAAAGAATGTAGTGTAAAATGCATTGGTGAAGTCTCCTGACTTGAAAAAGCGCTATACAAGTACAGGTCATTTACTATTTACCATTTGTGAAAGGTTCCTAGGTCCACACTGAACATTTAATATTACATATGCTATCTTTGTTGGGTAAGTAACATAAAGGGTTTATTTCATATTTGCAACAATGAGTGTTAAGGGGTTATTAAAAAAACTTTCATGTTTAAAAGTTTATGCCTGAGATGATAGCTTTATGACCTGGTGCATCTTCTTGTTAAAAACATCAATCGGAGGAAGGGGAATCAGTAAAAGAGGGGACTGACTTATATTTTCCTCTTTTAGCTAAATTTTAATCAGACCATTGCGGCTGGAACTGAGAATAGATCAGGCAATGTTTTCCAAGTTTATAGTCAGTTCCCTGTTCTTAGCAGACAGGATTAGCCTCATGGTCTGACCTCATGTGTGACTGAAGATGGTGCTTTGCATTTTTTGTTAATTACTAACTTCAATTGTCATTGACTTTCTCATAATAAAATTTTTTGCCTAATATTTTATGCCAAAATTTTGTTTTAGAACATTAACTATAAACCCAAAAGTTGATTTTCTAGATTTCCAAATGCGATAAGTTGATTCTATGTGACCAAAGATTTCTTATTTCGTGCTACAAGCCTTTCGATAGATGTGTCCAGTGGGTGTACACAGGGCAGTATATTAAAATTCTTGTTTCGAAGTATTTTTTATAAGTACTGATTTAAAACACATTTCAACTTAGATATAAATGTTTTTTTATTTTTTTTTTACCAGGCTTTTAAGATGGTAAACATTTATTTAGAGGGATAAAAAAACAACCACAGGCAGCTTTAAAACATTTTTTTGTTACTTTATAGCCCTTGATTCATAGTGCTTCAGTATTACCATGCAGTCAGTCTTGGTGATGTGTTTGGCTGCTATCCTGGGGTCGACCTCAGCCAGCAGCTCCTTCACCTTTCGCAGGATGCTCACTTCTAGGGGCTTGTTTTCTTTTGGCATCAGTGGCGAATGGTACATTCTAGGCTTAAAATAGGAAACCGTCTCCACAACCGGAGAGAAGAACACATTTCCGTCTTTCAAACTCAGTGGGTCTGCATTCAATGGTCCTTCGTCGGTCTGGAGCCTCTCCACGTAGCTCTGAGGGTACAGCTCCGTATAGCCATCTTTAATGGGGGAAGCCAGGCCCTGGTGAAAGGGAGGGTTTGAGGGTACATTAAGACGGCTTCTATGAAGGGGGCAGCTGGAAGAGGTCAGGGACTGAGCATTGTCTGACAAGTTTGATAATGACGGAGATGGTGCAACAATGGCTGCCCGGCTGCAACAAGGGCTTCTGGATTGTGGTGCTGGAGGAGAGAGAAAAAAAGAAAGTTCAATGCTTCAAAGTGCTTTACAGTACATTCAGTCACCTTCATGAAAACCTTAGCCTTAATCTGATGCTAAACTTCTTCTCTTATATAATAAATGTTTGTGTATATGATCCTTACACGCAATCAATGGATCAGTTTCATAGAAATATGAGAGAAAGGGTTGCTCTTTTTTTCATATCAAATTTTTTCACAGAAGCACAAATTAACTCTGCAAACTGTGAAACATGTGACCTTCTTCCTGGAAATGATCCATGCAAATGTCCTGACCTCCACCATTTCCTACAAAATCAGTGTTTAACGTCAGAATGGATTAAACCACCATTGCCTAATGTTTTTTGTTGATTACTTATTTAAAGTCTGGCAGTCTACGGGCAAGAGGCGGGGTACAACCTGGACAGGTCGCCAGTCTGTTGCAGGGCAACACAGAGACCCAAAAAAACGTACAACCTTTCACACTAAAGGGCTGGTTATCCTCCCTGCAGCAGTGTGACGCAGTGAGCTTGTTTCAGGTAGTTTTGATTTACGGCCAGTTTGGAAGTCTGGTCTGTGCGTCTGATTGTCCCTCTTGTGTTTTGGCGTGTTATTCCACGCCAAAACGCAAGAGGGACAATCAGAAACTAGCTGTGGAACTAGATACGGCCAAGGCGGTGAGGAAGTAGGGGGAAAGTTTATGCAACAGCGGAGGGACATGAGGGAGAAAAAGAACAGGGATCCAGGTGGAAAAAGGCTCCCAGCGTTCTCGCCCACCTCGCTCTTCTAGCTGGTCCATCTTCACAAGTCATTTTCCACAGTGGCGGTCATACAAACAAAACAAGCCAGTAACGTACCAAACAGGAAATACGCATAGTGTAGAGCAGATGTAGATTTGACCAATCAGAGGCCTACTATCAGTGGCACTGTCTGCGGCCACCTACAGTTTTGGAGAAGTGCAGCAGAGTGTCTGCTGAAGGGGTGTGGGCAAATTTGCATTCACTGCGTTGCATGGTTTTTGAGTATAAACCAGCCTTTACACTTACACCTAGGGACAATTTAGACATGCCAATTAACCTAACATTCATGTTTTTGGAGAGAACCTCAGAATGCACAGGGAGAAAGTTCAAACTCCACGCAGAAAGTCTCTGGGCCGGGAATCGAACCAGAATCATCTTGCTGCAAAGCAACAGTGCTACAAACTGTGTCATCATGCAGCCCGCATACATTTTTATTACATTTAGTTAATTAGACCTAAAAGCTTTCTGCAGTCACACATTACTATTTTCCATCAACACATCTTTTGCTCTGGGTCATGGGAGTGAAAATATCACAATTTAATGGTTTTGAAGTTTCTTTTCGAATAGAAAATCCCTTTATTGTCCCACAATGGGGAAATCTTATCTTGTTAAGCTTCCATTGTGTTGACTGCCTCTGTACGCCCATGTATTCTGTTTCACTCAGACTTTTATGTTCTGCTCTCATTGTTCAGATTCTCTAACTGTTTTGTCATTAAATTCTTCACTATGCTGCTCCCAAGTTCATGTCACATTTTGGTCTTACTCAACCAACTAAACATGACAGACGGACTTGGGGACCCTTGTATAATTGCTAAATGTCCAGTTATGTTTGGCATCCTTGTCCAAAGCAAATATTTAACTTGCTTTATGATTGAAGCAGGTGACATTTATAGCATCTACAGTAAGTTAATATAAAGGAGATTGTATTGCTTCAGATGGATATTTGTTCTGACAGAAAAAGTGGTTCCATATCAATGTTTTATCTAAAGTATTTACAAACATAAATACTGTCAGCAGAATTTATTGATTTTGAAAACTTATATTTTGCTATTTTTTCACCCTAAAAAAAAACACACACACACACATACAATACAGACACACTGTGTCCTACATTGATGAAAAACCATTATTGATTAGAGTGATATGAAAATATATCTTTAACAAGTTCACGTGATCATCTGCTTTATAGCACCTTCCCTGAATTCACATTTTTATCCATCATTTATTTGCTGCATGGAATCAATGATTATCTAAATCTCACTAAGGCTGTGATTTGTCTGAATCTCCACTTGTGTAACAGCTTTTTAAAAATTGTGCTCTGTTTACACCACTTTGTTCCCTAAAAAGAGTCACTATAATGTAGGCTAATGTTAAGGTTTAATACTCAGGGTAGGTTGTTCTATTATTTCTTATTTCTAGAATTTTTAAATGTCTTTTTCAGATCAACGGATTTCATATAATCATGTAATAATCATAATGATATAAAATTAAATGTGCTTGTGCTCAAGTATGTATTTAATCATCAAAGTTTAAAAGCCAATCTATTTTTAAATCTGAACAAAAGCAGAATTGGCCACGGAAAATATTTGACATTGCCATTTAAAATTCAATCAAAAGAAAAATGTTAAGATGTAAGAGGAGCAAGCAAAAGACATGCCATATGGTTACTGTCTTTGCTCTGCATGAACCTGCAGCCACCGGTCAATATTATCTCAGTACTACATCTAAAGTTCAGCACAGGGCCGTTCCTGCTGTTCCTGAGTGCTGTAAACCACTCACATGCTGAACTTCAGCCTACTTTCCTCACTGCCAACACCCAACCAATACCTCTGCCTGTCCAAGCTTGAATTCACTCAAGGCTTAGCTCAGAGGGAAACTGGAAGCACAGAGAGGTATCTGCAGGCTGCAGCGCTACAGGTGAGTTTTACCATCAAAGGACTAGAAACTGATCAATAATTGATGATTAATGACATGATCAGTGGAAAAAAAATATTATTTACTACAGACGTTTTCTTAATTTTTGTGATTTTTTTCTTCATTAACAAACTCAGAGTAGTTACACATGGTGCTATAGCTTCACTGAGGCAGATTGAGGGTTTCCAGATGTTTTCTGCAGGAAGAAAGCAACGCTGAACCTGATAGTAAGCTCAAACTAGGGAAGACTTGACTTTGCCGGAACATTTCTGTATGTTTTTTTTTAACTGCTTACTGGATGAAATCCAGTCACAGTTTGCAAAGTGTTCAAGTTGCATGATATAAGCAATAAAATCTGCAGGGAAGAATGTTAATGTTAATGTTTCTTACTGCAACTAAGAATATTCCTTTTTGTAAACATCCTAAATAATTACCTTATATATGACTTAATTTTGTTTTCATTATTTCCATGACAAAATCATGTCAGTGGTGAGTGTCAAAAAACAATCTTAATCAGTTCTAGAGCAGAGGAATGTAGATGTGCTTATAAATAATACAGCTGAAACCTTTTCTTGCTACCTTTAAACACAAAGACCACTTTTAAATCAACTCTACAGTTTCACTTCTACTGTTTCACTTACAGAGCAAATGTACACTTCAACAAAAAAAGCTGGGAAATCTGAGAGAAACAACTTACTAAATTTCCATGTAAACCTCCTGGGACTTAAAAGAATTTCCCCATTGTCGTTGTGTAATCAGGAAACCATTACCGAGCTGCACATGGTCTTGGAGTTATGTAAAGTGAAGAAAAAAGCCTCACAGCTTTCTGAAAACCTTGAAAACAACCCATGTAGTGAGACTCCCCCCCCCATATACATTTGTTTTGTGCATACTTTGAAGTATTTGCTCTGGAGCAGGGGTTCTCAAACTGCATGTTCAAAGGTACAAATCAGGGTTTTAGATAAGGTGAAAGGTCAGCTACTGTAGCAATGAGCAAACACTGTTTAACAAACACAGAGTAATCTTTAATGGTAACACAGAGATGGTGTTCATCCAAGGGTTTATATGCAGCTGGTTTTAAATATTGGAGGCAAAATAATCTTGTTAAGGTAATGAACTCTATATGCTTCAGTCACATGGATTTGGCCAAAAAAAATAATTATTTGAAAATAACTATGTCAAAATGGTAAGACTGCAGTGGCGGCTGCTCCTCTGAAACAGGGGAGGCTCAATGGCAGTGGTTGCTGGCCAATAGAGGGCGCTAGGGCACCACCCCACCCACCCAATGACCTTGATTAAGACATAAAAAATTTTTTTTTAAAAATTTAAATGTAAAATTTAAATATTTCAAAATATATATTGATACATAATTTTTAGATGTGCAAGATAAATATTTAATCTTTAATGGTGAGTAAAACAGGTTTTTTTTTGTCAGATTGGTGATTTATTTCTGCCATGAGGTGCAAAAATGTTCGCCCATTGACTCTCGTTAAAAGCTGTACATGTGCAGTAGCTCCTCTGCAATACATAGATATAGGAGAGTTCCTGCGCCCCGAGGTGGCAGGTACTGTTGTCACAGTTGTAGTGCGGGTGATTGACAGGACGAAGGGAAGCAAAGGGAAGCAAACTTACCAAGAGAAGCTGGAGGTGAAATCGTTTTGACCTGATCAGCCGAAAATCAAAATGAATAAAAGATGGATGGAGACGGTATACTGTCTTTTTCTACGACCCGGTTTAGCTGCAAAGCTTGGCTAACCATATGTAGCGAGGCTAATGCTTTATTCTGCTGACTTGACTTCCGGCCTCCTTTTTCAAACATCAGGATCTGAGCCAGCCTGGATAAAGACAGGTAGGACTGATTTAAAGGACTTTTTAGAAAAGGCAAAGAAGAATAAACAATCTTATTATAGTGTATTTTTTCTAGATGTTTGGTCATTTGCATAGTTGCTTAAATAAAAGACATTCTCAGAAAATAAATAGTTTTTATATATTAAAAAATATAAAGCTGTTAGAAGCTTCTCCATTATTAAACTGGTAGCTCATTTTTTTTTTTTTTTTGGTGTGTGAGACCAAACCAATCAGACCTTCTTAATGTTGCGGGTGGAACTGAGTATAGACCAGGCAATGGTTTGGACCATGCACACACAGATTTGCCTCAGAAGGGATAAATTATATACAAAAATTAAACCTGTACATGAAAATATGTTTTTGCTTTAATAAAGTGTTTTCATGATGTTTTTTGTTGTTGGCATTCATATAAATGTACTGGTGTAATAACTTAATATACGGATT